CAGGATAAAAAGTAATGTTGACTTACAGGGAACTAAAATATTACACTGATCTCTGCTAGAGTAATTCTAAAATTTGTAATTGTGTAATTCAAACATTTTTCTTCTGCTTGGGGCCTTTAACCTGCCATTTGATTCTGTGTGCTCAGCCCCTCACCACCGTTCCAGAGGTATGGACTTACCTTCTGCAATTCTGCATGTCCCAGTCACAGGGGCCAGGACCAGTCTAGCACTATGTGGGTGTAACCAAAACTGCGTATTCTACACCCTCTAAGTCATTTCTGATGGACTGTTAATAAATGGATCATTCTCAGCAGCTGCCCAGGGCACACCTGACACCTCAGGCTACAAGATGAGTGTTAAAAAACCCTATGAGGCAGGAGAGCTATTCCTTTGTCTTCACAGCAATGACTTGATAACTTCTCTCCAGAAAGGTATTAACACCTTCACACCCAGTCTGAGTGGTCAACTCTGCTAATGGGCCATACTGGACCGGCATAATAGGCAGCTGCAAGCACCTAGACCAGCAAAGAGTCCAGAAATATCCCATGACTCATAGAGTTAAATCACTCATTGTGAAACTTCCCGCCTTAGGGGGAGGTACTGGGAATTCCCTCTGACCCTAAGCATATGTAATCTTGGGGGTTTGGGACTTCTGGTACCACTCAATGGATTGAGAGGAGGACCAGAACTTCAACAGGACTGCCACTGCCACTCTTGACAGGACTGTGATCTTTACTTCAACAGAACTGCCACCATCATCTGGACCAACTGGTTCTCCTTTTACTTTGCACCCAGGGGAACTGCGTGGTGCTCAGCACAGGGGCTAACAGTGTTCTGTTCTTGTCCCAGGGAGCTGGGTTATACATCTGTCTTTGGGGGTTAAAACCAGTTTTCTCTGTATCATTGTATTTATTGTAGTCTTTTTAGTAAATTGTAACTCTGATTTGTAATCTCTCAAGTCGGGTTCATTTTTCCCACCGATTTACTTTTAAACCAGCACACTGCATCAAGGGGTACTGGGAAAAGCAGCTGATGCCATTGCAAGGCCACTCTCTGCTGTCTTTCAAAGAGTGTGGAGATCCAGCTACACAGACAGAAACGGGGGTTGCTCAAGGTCTTTCACTAAATTAGATGTCTTGGTATCAACAATATTTTCACTGCTATTCAGTTAATAAATACTCAGGTCTCTTACATTTTAAATTCAGAAATAGACCTCTGAATGGAAATATTTCATACATTCAGAATGAAAGTAATAAACTGGATTTATTAGATTGAAACTCCATTTCATCTGAACAGTTCAGCTGTGACAGCTCTGTTGTTTTCTGGAAAGTTGGTTTTGCTTTTTGTTGTACTTAAGCACTGGGGTTGGGGTGGGGTGGGCAGTGAAGGGCTGGGAAGCAAAAACACTTAACCCCATTCCCTTTCTCAGGGAGCACTCTCCAGCTCCTCAAGCATCACCTGAACTACAGCCATCTCACTAAGAGAGGCTGCTTCCCGTGGCACATACTAAAGGTTCCTGGTATCACTGAAGACGGAAGGTAGCAGCACCTCTGCACATTAGTTTTTCATTTACAAGAAAAAATTAAATAGCACCAGAACAAAAACTAGGATGCCTCAGACTGCACAGTAAGTAATGATTAGTTCTATCTACAAATAAATTGTCAATAGTGGTGGGGTGATTTTATTTGTTTGGTTTGGGTTTTTTTCAGAGGTGTTTTAGGGGCCAGGGAGCTGCTTTGTTTTCTAAATAAAGGACCCTGCATACACCTTCCCCTGGGCTTAGCTGGTTTCATCAAGGTTACTAAGTAACCTTGAGTTGTATTCTGCGTTTCTACTGCTCTTTTCAGAAGGAAATTGAATCCCTCCCATGTCTGAGAAGCCCAGCTTTCTGTTTAAATAGGATTTTTCAAGTATTAGCATATCAAAGAGCATAGTTGACAGCATGCAACATAAGATTAGCACATTTTAGTTTTTTCTAAGTCTCAGCTTCCTTCTGTCATACTATTTTGCATTTTTAGGGAGAGCAAACCAAAGGCAACCTTGGTAGCCATCTGCAGGAGCAAGACACCGCGTGTATTTACAAAACAGCTTAGTCTGCTTCCAGAAATCAGAGTGACTTTAATCTGTTGGGTCCCTCCATGAACACTGCTGGCCCACGGAAAGTCTACAAGGCAACAACACTTCAGTTCTGACCCTTGAAAATGTCTACCAATACTGAAGAGCTGGATCCTGCCATGCCACACAGGATGTTAAAGATATTGAAGAAGCCAGGATCCTCTCCTGATCATAAACTGTTCAGAGGGCAGTCGGTCACGTCAGGTCCTATGGTATGTTAAAAGAGGCAAGAGTGGAAATCGCAATTCTGCCCCATCTCTGGATTGGCAGCAAGCAAAAGGGGTTGTAGACAGTATGTGTTTTAGAATCTATATTCTGCAGCCATATTTTGGGTTTTTAAGGTTTATTTTTACACTTTTTTGCATATTTGATGAAAAATTCACACTTTAGTTTCAGCATGAAAAGTGAAATAGTTATGTTGATTGTGTCAACATGTTTAAACACGCTGGATGTAAAATTTGGTCCTAAGTTTATGGTGGGAATGGATCTCAATGCAGACAGCTACTAACACTCCACAAACCTAAATTATTTTAGACAGACTTCACATTTAAGAAATAATATATAAGCCTACAAAAATCTTGAAAAACATAGGTCTTTACCTGTTGTTTTTCTAGATATTACCATGTACTGAGGTAACCGTTATATCACTCCTCTGACTAGTACTAGAACAACAGTCTTGTGGTACAATTGTCACAAGGAAAGTCAGTTAAAAGCAAATTACAGTCATTTCTCAAACTCAACTATATTGCTAGAGCTGTTAGATGCATTACTTCCTAAAAACCTCTCAAGTATGACATACATCATTACCTTTCAGGTATCTATAGCTACAGTCAGTGAAACGCTACATTACAGTGATGCCGAAGCTCCTTAATCAAGTTCTAGTTTTCCTGCATTAGGTAATTCACTGGTTCATGAAAAAGCAGCTCTGTTATGGAGCAAGGTCAGCTCCACAGTGCCCATGACAGCTCATTAAACTTTGTGGCACCTGCTACCCACACAGAGGAAACATGAGTGAAGCATCTCAGCTCTGAGGCTTAAGAAGCAAGGATTCCCAGAGAAGAAAAGGACAAAAAAACAACAACAAAAATGTAGCAGGATCTTTACCTCATGTGACACCAAGAGATTTCTGGCAAAATTAAATATGAGATTCCTCAAGTTGCTGGATAGACATCATCTTCATACTGCAAGGCAGTTGCTGTCATTCATCACCAAGTGAATGGTACCTAGTCAGGTGAAGGCATTAGCACAAAAACACACACAACCCAAGTAGGCCCACAGTTACACAGTTACATTAATGAAGTTTTGAGAAGTAGAAAGAAAGCAATGTAGAGCCAGCCAGGGGAACTTTGAAATCTTTCAGAAGTTTCTGTCAGTCAGGTCTTTGAAACTAGTCTATTTTAAGATGCCAGATCTTTCAGCAGTTAGATCTCAAAATCATCTACATTGGGTGTTTTAGAATAACAATATCTGGGTCTTCATATTTATCCAAATTCACATTTCTTTATCTATTCTCATTTACCAGTGTATTTTTCCCTTTTAACACTCCTTATACTCTCCAGACAGACAAGGTGGTGATTGAAATCTGCCAGGTACGATTTCACTTTCATACTCCCCTACCTACTCTGAATGGGGAAAAAAACAAACATGAGAGGAATCCAAGTCATGTAGTCTGAAGTATTTGGATCAAATAAAACTGTTCACTGCTAAAAATATAACTCTGTCTACCCATCTCCAGGTAGGTAGAACCAAGACAGAAGTGGTTCTTCACATCTCTTCAAGCATTTATCTATACATAGCAAAGTACTGCTTGGAGGTTACTGTTCTCCAATTTTATAAACTTCAGTACAGAGCTTGGACAGTCACAACAATGATTATGACAACTCTGAGAAGGAAAAATGACAGTATGAAAAAGAAAACAGCAAGCATGACTGTAATTATTTTCCCATCTAAACTTAGTTTTAAAAAAATTAGTCTTTGTAAAGAGATTGACTAGTTGAATAAAACTAAAAACCCTCTACATAATAAGACTCTCATTAGTTATCCAGACCAGAAATCTGATGTAGCAATCATGAAAATCCAACAGGTTTCTCCAGGAGAAACCTTAAAAATAACCCCTAAAGGTGTTTCAAAATGTCTGCATAAGACTACCTGTAGCATTTCAATACTATGAATGTTCCAAAGCCATGTTCTTTGTTGCTCAGTTTTTAAAGGTTAAAGCTTTTAGGTCATAATCAATGCTTAAAATAACTTGGCAAAGAGCTGTAACTGGGTCTGGCTGGGATGGAGTTAAGTTTCTGCACAGCACCCCACACAGCTCTGTGCTTTGGATTTGTGGCTAAAACAGTGCTGATAACACAGCAGTGTTTTGGCTAATGCTGAATGGTGCTCACACAGCTCAGAGGTTTCATTTTTCATTGCCTCTTCTTCCTCCTCACCCTTCAGTCTGCCCAAATCTTCAGGGACTGGGCTGGGGATGGTCAAGAAGCTATGAGGGAACACAGGCAGGACAGATGCCCCTAACTGACCAAAGGGTTATTCCCTATGGAATCATGCTCAGCCATAAAAGCTCGGGTTAAAGGAAAAGAAAGGTCATTCAGGGTTATGGTGTTTGTGTTGTACAGACCTGCCTGCTGGTACGAAATAAAATTCCTGTTTTTGCTTTGCCTGTGCACATAGCTTTGCTTGTCCTATCAAACTGTCTTTATCCTGACCCAAGGGTTTTCTTGCTTTTGTCCTGTTTCTCTCCACCACTGGGGGGAAGAGTGTATGAGCAATGGGGTGGGGGCTCACCTACTGGCAGGGATCAACCCACCACAACAGCCCAGGTTTGAACTCAGCCACTTCAGTAGCTCAGTCAGACAACACTAATTCATTCACATATGATGTTCAGCTTTCAGATACTTCAGTTTATTACAGACTTAACACAATAAAACATAGTATCAAAAAAAAAGTAGATTGCAAAGTTTTCACATCATGGAATGCCAATAGTTACAAAAATTGAAGTTATACTATTGAAAATACATGAAAACCAGTGAGAAAATACGGTCAGATGGGGGGAAAACTTGTGGGAGATAGGGAAGGGGAGAAAAAAAAAATTAAGTCAGTTAAAAAAAAAAGGAGAGATACATGATCCAAGCTTTTTAAATAGAAAATTTAATCATTCTTTGAGTCAAACAATCCTGTCTAGAAACAAATATTCATAATGAAGTTAACTCCAGAATCTGAACCTCTAAATAACAAGATTCCTTGTCCCAGTTAACTTACATTAAGACAGCTTGTGTCCTACAAGTCATTCCAAAATACCCTTTTACTTCTAGAGTGCTTATCATGCTTAAGTGGATAGATTGTTTGCTACACAGTTACAAGAACAGCTTAAGTTACAAAAATAGTTATCACTCATTAGTATCTCTATACATATCTTAAGCTATTATATGCACACTCTGTACAGTGGATGTTAACAGTAGTTAAATTTGCTTCCTTAAACAAAACAAAAGAACTAAATCACTGACAGATCCAAAATGTTCAGGCACCATAATACACTTACATGTCTGGTACTAAACAACCCTGCCCATGCAAAGCAAAAGCAGTTTCAGTTCCCAGGAGACAAACAGCATCCAGGCTGTAGGGCCCTTGTGATGGCTGGTGGAAGAGGACGGTCTGAGGATCAGGACAGTCTGACCAAGCTTTCATATTCCATGCAGATTCCTGGACAACAGGCCCTCCCTACCGGCAGAGAAGCAGGTTTTCATGGCAAAAGCTATAGGGCAGTAGAACTGCCCCTCTGGTAATGACCAGAACTCCCCAGTTACAGATAAAATAGGAAGGTGACTTCTCAAATGGAACAAACACTGGATTTTTCCCATAGCCAAATTATTGTTTCCATCATGTTTTGGTTAGGTTTTATTCCTCCCTCCCAGTGCATGATCAGGGCCATCACAAACAAGTATTTTTGCTGGTCGCAAGTAGTCCATTACTGAAGTATGGTGGTTGAACTCGCATTATTTATCCTTTCCCTTTCAGAATTAATAGTAAGCCTGGAAGCCTTGCTAGGGTTGTGGGCTTTTTGTTAGACAGGCAAGTAACAAAAAAAATAGTTCTTACAGGTACCACCACTTGTCTTAATAATCTCTTAACACTTAAAGTCCAGTTCAACTGATGTTCCACTTCATGCAGCTGCCCAACTCTGAAACAGGTCACCTATTTCAGAAGGTGCTGTCTAGGAACATACAGATGTTCCACCACAAATTTGGGGGTTGGGGAGGAGATGGGAAAAAAACCAAAACCACAACTAGTACCCCTGAAAAAAAAAAAAAAGAAGCCTTAAGTGCTGAATAAGAAGTAACACTATTTCTCTTTTAACTTTTTCTGAATTTAGAAGCTTCTCTCATACTACTCCAAGCACCATGCTTTCCATCATGAAGGCACAACACTTCCGTCAGAAGGTTAAAGACCCTAATGGTTCAATCCAAGCATTTAAGAGAGTTGGTGCTTAAATGGTTCCCTTTATACACCACACATTAAAAAGCCCAGGCATGTCTGCAATGCACTACAATGAAAAAACATATTCACTTGCAGAACTTCAAGGACAATTTGAAGCAAAGTTAACTAAGGTACGTACTTAAGTCTGCCAACATCAGACTGCAAAATATAAACACTACAATGTTAAAATCAAGGTCATGCACACATCAGAAGTGCATTAAGAATTTCAAAGCTATACCACACAGGAAAAAGATACTTATGCTTGCCTTCATGAAAGATTAAGAACTAAGCAACTATCCCCTAAACATCAAGATGATCAAAGAAATGATGAATAAGCTTCTACAGCCTTTCCCCACACCAGGAATTCAAAAGTGAGTGTCAGGTACTACATCTCTTAGTAAGAGCACTTCTCTTTAAATCTCTCCAAATAGATATTTGACTTTTGGATCTTTGATGGTTTGGTAGCTTCATAAATTCATTTATTTATTTTTAAAGCAACATAGTTAAAATGTACAGTAATTTTGCTCTCTGATGTCAAATAGCCAACATTTTTATGTATTTAGGTGTTCCATACTTATGATTTTGAAATTTTACAGTTATTCTATACAGAATATATTAAGTTGATTTTCAATAGTGCCATTACAGTGCAACATCTGGACCACTGTTATAAGGCATAACTAACAGAGCTTCCATTTTAAAGTGCAACAGGTTTTGGTACAGGAATTGCTACAAAGAATTCAAGTGAAAAGAACTCTACTAGAAATAAACACACTATGATGCCAGTATAAAGGTATTTTATAGTATTAGAAGGCTATGGGGAAGTTACAAGTGAAATATGAATCACTTCAGAAGAAATCCTTCAGAAACTACCTATCTTACACACATGAAGACAAGCCAGGAAAAATACAATTTCAAGCTCACTTTCTGGAGAGAATTTGTACTTATTGATTTACAGTGCACTGAAAGGCTTGCCTTTTTTTATTTTAAAATCAAGATAAAATAAATGTGAAAAATGACAGGTCTGTCACTTGGATCTATTCCAATACCTTGTTTAAAAGGTTATACAAGTTAATAGAGTTCCCTTGTTCCTTTAGCATGTTTCCAAGCTCAGCCATATAAATCTAGTTTAAGTTAAATATTCACACAGATGATTACCTACTTATCTGATGAGATGTTATATTAAAATTAGTAGATAAATTAAAATACTTGCCTTGTTTGGTTAGTCATATGCTGACAGTTCTGCAAGGAGATACTAACACCTGCAGAACCTTAAGCCTGTTACTGTTACAATTACTTCTCCCATAATGACTTAATTTGAGAATTAAACAGGGCCTTTAACCCACACTTTATTTTTTACGGTGAGAACTCTTCATTATGCAGTAAGTCTACCACAAATTGATGGTGCTAAAGTTTATATCCATTAGATATTCCAGAGGACAAAAACTGAGTTGTACCTTCCCCCTTCTGAGACATACACAGAAAGAATAATTCCACTCAATTCTTTAATTTGAATTAACCAATACCAAGCACTTCATGTAAGGTTAAGATCTATAGATTTAAGTATGTATTTTGCTCAACATGTCTGCCAAAATTTCAAAAGTCAGTCTGAGTCTCAGCACTGCATAAAGTGTAACCTCCTCTTGCCATGCTTGTTCAAAAGCAGCGTTCCCTACTGTCACAAAATTATTTTGTCATTGTGCCATTCCAGTTATTTTAGAATGCCTTTAACCCTTGAAAGAAAAAAAATACTTTAAATCAATGTAAATATCTGCCTAGAGCTGCTTTCTTCTTTTCTCTTTCAAAAAACCCCAAACAAATAACAACTCCTAAACAAAAAAACCCCAACACTCTAGATCTAAATACCTAGGCCTAAAAGAAAAAGCCTGTGGTCACTTACTGGCTGATTTCAGATCTGACAAGATTTAAATCAGAATTCTCTCCCTGCTCTCCAACATAAGCAAATCTTCCTTCAACAGGTAAGATTGAAAAGTTAACCTCTCTGCTTTTAGCCAGTTACCCACTATCCTGGTTTTTAGTTATCACCTTTCAGACAAGCTTATGCACGCATTTTAGCAGCCCCAGGGCTGAACCTCATCTCTACTCTAGCAAGACTAGTCAACTGTGCATTAGTTTCCCTCATCATTGTAAGCTGTAATAAAGAATGTTTACTTTTAAAGGCCAAAATTCAAGAACAATTTTCAGAATATAACTACAGCAAGTCATCCAAATTGACTACTCTAATTCCAGAAATTCTCTAAAGCCAAAACCTGACATCATCATCTTACCAAAAACTATACGAAACTGACAGTTCAGGTTCCAAAAGTTTTCAGAGACTGCCAGAGTAAGTGTATTTCAAACAAAGAAGGGTTGGTTTGGTGTTTTTTTTTTTTTTTTTTTTTGTGTGTGTGTGGTTAAGTAATGCCTTCTAAGTAAGTTTTACATCGTTGATATTCTTTTCCCCACCCACCCCCCGAGGCCCATCTAAGAGAGGCCAGTAAAGAAAAGAGTAATGTAGACACCTATCTTGACTGAAGTACTGGAGCGTCAGAGATTGTTAGGGGCAAGAAGTTACCCAGCAGCCTTTTTCCATAGTGTTTATTGCTAATTCATTTTGTGTAGCTTATTTCCAGCAGATGGGCAGCATAAAAACCACAACATCTATTTAAAAAAAAAAATAATCATTCAATAAAATGCAACAGTCTCAACAGTACCTTCTTACAGCTGCAACTTATCTAATTCAGAAATAAACCAATCCTGATCTAGTTAATTAAAACATTTTGCACCTAACCCTTAGAACAGTCAGTCCTAAGGAGTCAAGCAACTTTGGGCCCAAAATTTATAATCACCATAATTGATAAGAATCCTGGAAATTCTCACCGTGCAAACTATGCTACAGAAACTATTGACCACTGTGAGTCAGTCTGGCAATTACATCAGCATTCACCCTTATAGAAAGCATTGCTGCGTTTTCCCTTCCTTAACTTTGACGTGAACTGTGCGTGCTCTGGAGATACAGCAACTGCTGTATTTGCTTACTCAGCCTGTGCAAGAAATAGGTACAACAAAACACATTAACACTTAGAAGTAGCTTAAATACATAGGATATTAAAATAAAAATCATGAAAATTGACATGAACCTCTCCAAACCCGTGCTCAAAGTTTCACATCTAGTTCCAACTGCACAATATTGATTTTCATAGCTATTCTCAAAAGTTTACTACAAAACAGACCGGCAAAGCCTTTATTTATTAATTTTCTACAGTCTTGAATTTTTCCTTTGTCAGTAATTGTTCTGGGGGTTGTTTTTTTTTTTTAGTTTTAAACCCAACTTTAAATTTAACAATGTACATTCTCCTTAAAACATCCTAGAGGTAGCAGGAGAGAATATGAATGAAAAGATGCCAGATTCTAGAAGTTGCACATTCAAGTGTAGTGTCATCCAAGAGAGCTTTCCTGGCTTTCACAGACTGCATGTCATCTCTAATCATGTATAGAAAACAAAACACAGAATCCCAAAATAAAGGACTATTGTCACTGGGTTATTAATAGAAGTTTCACACCCAGATACCTCAAAGTAATTTTGTTATTTAAGAAGTAATACTGCCTTTTTCAATAGTCAAATATCAAGAAATGAAGTATAGACTTAAAATTTATGAGTATATTTGTTTTTTAAAAATGCTCATTAGTGACACATTTCACCTAAACACAGACATATACACAGTTACTCTAAGCTGATGTACCACACTGTAAGGAAAGGTCCCAGTTCTGTTGAAGAATCCAATATTCCCCCTCTCCCTCCCACCACACAACTCGACAGAGGTGCTTACAGTAACAGAAAGCAAACAGAAGGGAAAAACACAACACTTAACAAGTGCACCTATATACATTTTGCATCTCTTCCCTCCTTGTATCTAAAGTGAACAGGTCACCACGTTTGCTATGCTGTACATCGCTTGTTCTCTCCCCTTCATGTAGTACCAGTCCTATCCAAAGGATCTCTGCAGGCACCAACAGCAGTCATTCCAAACCAACCAGTAGGTGCTTTTACTGTGGAGGCTGAAGTACATTTAAATATTCTGACTGGCCCAGCTGATAGGTCGTGTTTCCTCCACAGTCCACATACTGGTATCTCTCCTGGGATATTTGTTCAGAGTGGCCAAAGTACGAGGTTGTCACTGTCACTCTTAAAAAGACAAAACAGAAGAGATTTTGAGTTTCCCATTCTAAAAATGCGCTGTTACACTACTAGGGTTTTTAAGGAAAAAGTTTTGGAACAAAATATGTTATAAATAAATTTAAAAACATTAGTAATTTACCACCACAGATTTTCTCCATACAAGACATCTGGTTCCCTGAGTACACACTTTTTTTCCCAAAGATGCTAAAGCTGAGATTTGCTCATAATATCTTGCTTAGTGATGAGAAAGCAAATGATTAGACAAGTCATCATATGTCTAGGCTAAACACAGATCCCCACGCTCCATCAACAAAAGACCCCACCGTGCTGAAATTTATGCAATGTCACAAAAAGCAGTCTCTGACAGAGTACTAAAGCCTGTGATTCCTTCAAGATCACAAAGTTCTCAGCAAGTTCTGAACAGCGGCTGATACACAAAGTCACTTTAAAGTCTTTGAGACATTAATAGCTCCACAGGTACAGCCCAAATGCAGAGCAGATACAGTTACAACAGTTCTGTTTATTTGAGTGTCTTTACAACCCCAGAACCTGTCAGAAGGCCCAGTTCAGTTTCAAGAACTGTAAACCTACTAAACTAGAAAGTACGCTGATTTCATTCTATCTATGACGCAAAGACTCCAGGATTAAATATTTCTGAGTAATAGTTCGACAACAATTACACAGCTTCTAAATTTTTTTCCAACAAATAGGAAGTCTACCATACTTACTGCATCATCACTACTATGTTATGTACTTTGATAGATGGTAAAGTACAGAAGTCACTGCAAAAAAAGAAAAACAATTATTAGATTTGCATCAAACGTTCCAGGTAATTATCTAAAAAGCAAGACTTGTGGCTTCAACTGGGAATTCTGATAGAGACTATAGAGTTGGCAGCAATGGCAACAAAATCACTTGCTGTAAGTCACCAGCAGTTACTGTATGCTCACCTAGATCTTTTATGTACACAGTCTTGCTTTCACAGGAACAATACAGACACATGTTTGCTTATATATAATGCCTGCCAACAGAAATGTCCTAAGAAACTGTTCACTCCATCTTTCAGAAGCTAAAAAGTTAACCTGAACCACTACATTAAAGCCTGTTGATATCACTTGGCCACTGACAAAGACTTTCAGTATGAACGGATACAGAAATAATTTGCTGCAACTCCACTTCATGTGGAATCTATATGTAGGAAGGAAATTTTGCAAGAAGAGATCAATGTTATAACAACTTTAGCATTTTTTCATGTAAAACTATCAGTTTATATTAAAAAAAAAACCCTCAAATATCCTGAAGGCATTGCTATTCTTGCTCAACACATACCAACAACTTAGGAAAGTCCCTTTTATTTTTTGCACTCACCCATCTCTATATTATGCAAAGTAATCTTTAACCAATATACAAGGTTATTGTCCTCTTGCAAGATAACCTTTTCAGAGTGATGTTTTCTGACACGCACCTACGTAGTACCAGTTATACAAAGCACCATGTAAGTGCATACTTTTAACCCCAACTTCTTAAATCATTTGCTCTTGGTCACAAATGTATAAGCTCTAGAATGAAAACCACATGATCAGTGCACCAAGACTGCATGGCAGCCCCCCACAATATTTGGGTGGTCAATGCCAAAGTCATTCTTTCTCCCTGCACCAACAAACATATAATATAGTATTAAACAGTGAATGAACACAGGTGGTCCAAATTGTAAGAAAATACAAATCAAACAGTTTGGTATTAAAGTTGTTTAAAAATTAAATTTGTACCAATGTCAAACATTTTGACTTTTTCCCCTGCTAGGCTTAAATCAGAATTTAGTTAGACCGTAACGCCAGATATTCTCAGTTAATGTACTTTTCTAATTCAAAATATAGACAACCTGTAACATAATATAAAGCCAGCTCATATACAACAGTACACACTGGCTGACAAGCAGAGATGGGCAACACCAACATGCTGGTGTTTTTTTAAGTCAAGATTATACGAAAATGGATCTGCTTTAAATAACAAACCACAAACCAACCAAATAAAAAAAGCCCAACAAACACTACACAGCACAAAACTGTAGCTAGGAAACTACACTGAAGGTGAACTCCACATTGAGCCAGCTCTCTAAAATAAATGTGGAAATGCCCTGTACGATGTTGATTTCATCATGCAGGTTGGATGAATGCAGACACTTCAGGTCACTGAGAATCCCTGGTATTCAACCTAAGCCAACTTTACAGGACACACACTCTCTGGGATCCAAACCCAGGAGCTATGACTAAAGCAAGACCTAAATTAACCGGCTGGGGAAACACTGAAACATGATCCACTGTACAATCCCCCAGTGCTATAACCCACAACACCATCTGGATTAGAAAGATAAGCCCAGGATCTTCATATTTTTGTGTAGAGAAAAAACCCAAACACAGAAACAAGTACAAAATGCCGTTAAGACTGACTGAAGCTATCTTGGCTAGGTGTTCAAACAAAGGAAGCTCGCTTGCTGTCTCCAGGGTCATTCCATACAACAGACCCAGGCTTTCCAGACTCACAATACAGCGAAGGAGCAGAAACCTGTCAACAATAACTGCCAACAGCTCAGAGTTATAGAGAAAATGAACAGCTATAATTTTGTATGTGGCTCATATTCTTTTTAGTACATTTCAAACACATGACAGCAAAGTTAATGAGTGCTACTCACTAGGACCTTGCTCTAACAGCCTGTACAAGAACTTAACTGACACAAACTTCCACAGTCACGGGTCTCTCCACTAAGCATAGCCCATGTTTAGTGTCACTGTGTTGAAGCAACAAATATTCTCACATATGTACAAATGACCTATTAGTCTGCTCTCCTAGCACCATTCACAAACACTCCTGAAGGAGAGGAAGTTCCAACTTACAGACTACTGGTACTGACACATTGCAGCTTCGCCATTTCTACTTCAGGACTGCACAACGTACCTCCAAGTTGGACCAGTGAGTACATCATTGTTCTACTCTACAATTGCCAAGGCTCCAATTGTCAAGCAGAAGAGCCTGAAATCCAGTCAGTTCAGGCCATGGACAGTTTCTGCCTGTCTGTATCTTTTTACACATCCAAAGACATGCAGGTTTTTCTAAGGTTAGCCATCAGCTTGCAGGGAAAAATTGCAGCTGATGTTGGGAATAGATTATCAACAGCATTACTGAAGTTAAGGCCACAGTACTAATCATAAAATTTCAGCGTATTACTGCACCAAAAGCACAACTAGGTAGGTATTAGCATGAGTTTTAAGCAGGCCATGAAGTTTATTCCTCATACATCCAGAGTGAGCAGGTTCACAGGACTCAGTGTTTACATTAAGCTACCTTACATGCTTTTAAAAGGTGACAGTTCAACACTTTACATTTGTTTAGAGTTTGTGCCCCTCTTGCTATTTCACACCTATTTCAATTTACTCCAATACTTTAAAACTATAAGGTTCTCCCCCACCCCAAATGGGCTGTCATCCACTGGAACTGCAGACAGACCTGACGTCTCAACAGTTAACTTCTTCTTTTCAGTCTGCATTTCAGTGTAAGAGAACTAACATTTAGCTTTGTTACCAAAACACAGTGAGCTAACAGTCTGTTGGACAAATGAACTTTCAGAACCTATGAATAAAACCGCTCAAAGGGCAGGCTGTAAATACTGCATACTATTGTATACACATGGTCTGAAGAAAAGAAATACAAATTAGTCTCTAATTTGCATAGTATTAAATACAAGTTTTCTTCTACTGCAGAGAAAATTGTAGGAAAGTTACTGGAGAACTCATCAGGGGAACCCACCTGCACCTTCACCCTCCAAAGCAGCTATTGCCAAGGCCTAAATCATTAGGAGAGAAACAATGTAAAGGGCTAAGTGCCAGGTACAGTAAGCCACTATATGAAATTATTGAAACAACTGTGGTTGAACTATTCTTCAGTACTACGACTAAACATCTCTACAGTACTACTACACAACATCTCTGCAAGCAGATTTATGCTAACTTTGAAAAAAGTTGCTTTTAACATCATTGCAATTTTTAATAAGACCCACGTGATATTTAGAGGTGAGTACACTTACAACATGTAGCTCATTTCATCTTGTATGACCGTGGGCACCATGTAATCGATCTAAAAAAAGAAAGCAATGAAAACACACATGAGTAGATCTATATAAGAAGATTAACATGTCTTCAACTTTGAAAGCCTATGTTACTTACCTGTTTCATATCCAGAGGACCAATGTTGGTGATGTTGTTTAAACGTGCTTTGCCAATAACTGTTTTTGAAAATTGAACTTGGGCTGTGATATTTGCCACTTCAACAGAGTAATAGTTGTTATTCGTTATATTTAGCGTGTTCTGAAAAAAACAAACACAAAACATTAACAGCTAATCCATCCTGTGTAGCTCCATGAGAAAGCATTTTGAAACTTGTGCATGAGACAGTAAAACCTGATATTATTTTTTTGCTTGCTAGGATTGCGGGGAGGAGTGGTGTAATGGACCAACACTAAACTCCTTTCTCAGGATTTGTTTAGTGAATATATTGAGCAGTACAAACTTCTGCACAGCTTCTCTGCTGACAACTCTCCACTGCAAATATTGCATTTCTTCCTATCCTCAATTATTCCTTCCAGGAAATTTAGCTATCAGAGGACCTGCTTCTCCCAAGGAAGCTTTGCTTTATTTAAAATGAAGAACTCTACCAAAAGTCTTTAGGCAATCCTGTATTGAGTGCATTACCAAGAAGTCAAGAACTATGGGGAAAGAACTAGTTTAAATTTTAAGGTGGATGATTTTGACAAATACATAATACCAGGGCAGTATCAAATAGCATTCCTACATATACACACTACCTTTCACTCATATTCCAAAAATAATGCAGGAAAAACTCCAAAATCACTGTTCCCATGAAAACAGAAGTCCCAGTGTTAGCTTGTAATTCCAGTTCTATTAGCTACAGCTACAGGAACGAGCCATGGCAGGTCCAGTTACACTTTTCCAACTGGTCATTTTAGCTGCTGCTATTTGTTAAGGCACTGACTAAGCTTGTCAGCAAGACCACAACTTCTGTGTACATTAAACTATCAGAGCAGTATCTCTTGATGCATTATTCTTTACAAACATCCACAGAGGTAGTCAGACTTACCGTAATATTCAGATATATTATACGTCTACCCTGTTCGTAAGTGACATACACCGACTTCACACCAATGTATTCAACGTCAATTGAGCGAGGAAACAAGAAAAATACAGCCAACCCAGAAAGCAGTAAACATACAGTTACAGAAGCAGTCACGTAGAGCTTTCTGGAGGAAAAAAGAGCACATTTCAGAGTCAAAAGTACGTTTAACAACAGCGGCACGCTACTTTCTCTAAGTGATAAGTAGCAGGACTAGTCAATACAAGCAATTCAGTCTATTTCTACCTTCCATTAGCTTCTAAGAGGGAAAAAATAACTATGTTGCACTTCATATCTATGTATCAAAACAGCTATTACTCTTGTTTATACATCAGAAATCCCATTTCAAATCACACAGTTATTTCAACATTTGTAACTTACAGAGGAAAATGGAAGAGGTAAATATTTTTGTGCTTTGAAACAAAAGCACTTCCTCTTAACATCTATTTATAGCTCAACTTCTGTCATTCTGCAGGACTCTTGCACAACATACTCAGGAAGCAAAATAAAGCTCTTAGGACAGAGAATCCCAACTTTCAGGGAAAGTGTTAGACTCCAGATAAGGAGCAGGAAATTCACAATTAACCTAATTATGGGTGGGGGTGTGTGTGTGTGTGTGGGTGTGGGTGTGAGATAATAAAAAAACCTACCCACAAATAAAACGTTCTAACGCAGCTCCAATTTTGTCAAAATTAGAACACTACAGTAAAATGTTTCAAGTTTGTACTAACGTTACATCAGGTGTATGATCAGAATATATTATGTGAAGCTACTGTATTTTTTTTCCTGGCAATCATTTTTGTTTACTACAGAAACATCAAACATTATCCAAACATTAAAGAAAAAACAAACAAAAAATAAACCTAAAAACAAACAAAACCAAAACCACAGAAGCCAAAATATGTCAAAGCAAGAAGCCCTGAGCATTGTAATGAAACCTTTAAGTAGATCGTAGGAAAAAAATAACTATACTGTATCAGAATGATGAATTCGTTGACTTTGCTACTTGCAAAAATCAGAACTTTACAAATTAATTTTAGGTGACGTATTTTGTAGTAGTGGCTCAAAGAAACTACCACTTAACCCAGACTTTAACAGTGAAGATGTTTCTGCTTAGGTCAATTAAGATACCACAGAGATTGATAAATACTTGCATCATTACTGTAAACACACAGATAAATATCTACATGAATAGATCACACAGTATTACTCAGCTTTGTACTTAGGTAAGACATACTGTGACGGAAGTATGCACACTCTGTTAATAAATAACTCTCCTGAAGTTAGAGGTTAAGACTGACATAACTCACAATAAAGGTTCTTTCAGTACTGAATGCAAGAGAACATTCCAGTGATCTCAGCTTGATTCTTCTTATCACTATCTCATTCAAATTGTTGAATTTTAACTAGAAGAGAATAATTAACTATAGATCCATGTATGACAAGTAACCATTAACTTACGTTCTTCTTGGCCTCAGTCTCTGGTCACTGTATGGAATTAATGCTACCAGCTGATTTTCCTGCCCTGAAAGCAAAAACACCCTTTAAGAATTTAAACAAAGAATAAGTATTGTTGTAGTTATTTTACACGAGTGCCCATTGTGACTTAATGGCACCAAAGAATAAACACTAAAGATGAACATTTAAATTCCAGATAACCAAGTCAAATACTACAAATACAGCTTCTGTCATTTTCTGAAATAGAGCATGGATTACACAACATCAAGAGGAAAAAATACCAAGTCTGCAAAGACCAAAACACCAATAAATTCCACCTCTGTGCTGCACACATGCACTGGATGCAGCTTGCCTCTGGCACCACTTCCTGGAGGAAAACAGAGAGATAGAACAGCTTTGAACTCTCTGTGCCAGACCATATAAAGTCATAGGACAAAACATTCAGAAACTTGGCAGTATGAACTGATACAGAAGGCATTCTTCATGTACTCTTCTGAAAAAGCAGAAGTCAGGCTTGGCCTTGGCAACACAAGTTATATACACACTGCATTCTGGAAATCACTGGTATATAAAACCATTTATCATGGTGCTGCTGGGCTGCAGCACCCTGTAAGTCAAAATGAGCATCTACTGGAATTTCTCCAAACAACAAATTATGTCACTAGACAGCATGTTTAACAGGGGAATATCTTAACAGGAGAAATAAAGAACACATGCACAGATGAGCTGTTGAAAATACATGGGCTATGCCGGCCTGTATAGCTTTTACTCTTTGCTGTGGAACTGAGGTTTGTCTGTATGAGAATAGAGGCCTCAAGGTCGAGTCAGATTTGCACTTTTTAGGCTAAATGCAGAATTTGACCAAATCATCACTTAGCTAGGTAAGCACTTGGAAGTAATTCCATGATGAATCACTAATCTAGGCAAAGCATGCTAACCAAGCAGGTAGTAACATGTAAAACACTAACCTTCTAAAAAGCCTCTACCAGTTTAAAACAAATTTTCATCTCTGCTTCAATTAAGCATCAACCTTTGAACACAACCACACAGTCCTGCTTTCATACTACATCATACTGACAAAGCTAAAGCTTTCCAAGTTACAAAGCATAATTTCAAGTATTTATTATAGTTTAGCCATAATACCATGTATTATAGACCTACTAGATATGTAGTCATTCTGTGAACACTTAATTTATCCCCTCTCCCCTCAAAAAACCTCCAAACATTATTTTCCTCTTCTCTACAGTACTAATGAATAATTAAAAAGACAACCCTCTTAGTTCTAACAACTCATTTAAAGTTCTGGCTTTAACCACATTATTTCATTAGAATGTATGGACAACATGCACGTGTTAATAGTTACTGCAAAATGTTAAAAAAAATAATTAACTCACATTTAAGTATTACATCTAAAGATCCCTCAGCCAATGAAATAAGCTTTGGAACACAGGAATCCTGTTATTTCTGCACTTTGGCTAGCATGGTTTTGAGTAAAACTTGCTATTGATATTATCAAGTATTTCAAGTTAGCAAGCTAACAGAACAAACTTCCTTCTCTATAGTCTTTTGTTTAAGATAATTTTTAGTTTCATAGCTTTTCCACACCTCAAATTTGCTGAATTCACTCCAATCACAGTATAAAGTTTAACAGCTAAAACACAAATCTCTTATGATATTTACAACTGTTTACATATCCTGTGACTCCTGCCACTTAACCATACGTGAGACACAAGCATTTTTGAACTATATCATAACCTAATCTCATTGAGGCACACGTAGAAGGACAGGGCACAGACATCACTCAATTTTCCTGAGATGTTGGTCAAAATCAGTTCCAAAAGCTTTTATACCCAATAGTCTGTTTTGGATAAGAGGTCTGGCAAAAGCAGACCCAAACATGAAATCACCTCATCAGTTCTCCCCTCCATCAAAGGGAAGATCTTACAGCTGAAGCAGAAGATCATCCCTTGGCCTGCTGTGTTTGTCATTTTCTCCTTCTGCCCACTCTCAGATATCCTGCATTTTCCTTTCGCAGACCTCTCTATTTAGGTAGCTTATCACACAGGAGAGAAGTGTAACAAAGTAGCTTCATACCAAAAGGAAAAACAATATGAGTGCAACATGAAAAAAAACCCAGTTAGCTATGAAGACTAATGCTGGGCAGCTACTCCTTCCCTTGGCATCCGAAGATCCAATACGTTTTCAACTCCCAGGTGGAGTCCTCTGCTTAGGAAGGACCAATGGGACAAAGGGAGGGTAAAGGAAATCAAGAGGCACTGGCAGCAGTGAGGGCAAACAATTCACTATAAATGACCAAGGAAGAGCTGCAGCAGAGGTCTACTTTTTCTTCTCTGTATTTGCAGCTATTTTTGCAGCTATATTGATACAAATAGTTTAAAATAGGTAGTTAAAAAACATGTAATAAAATGTTATGAAAATTAAGGTTTGCTAATTCAACTTGCAAGAGCTACAGTTATGTGTGAATCTAAAGCTGAGAAGAAGAAACAGTAGCATTGTACAGACAAGTGAAGATCCAACATCAAACAGCCAAAACTGACCTAATTTTTTCCAATTATCTAGTGTAATTGTAACAAAACGCTTAGTGCTAAAAAGTCAGAAAGATGAAAAAACTTGAGTAGAAGGGCTATTTGTTATGAATTATTACAGTTATAACTACACATGGTTATGAAGCAAACTTATAAGTTAAAAAGAAATAAAAAGAATCAAAAAGAAAACTTACCTCGTGGAATTCTTCCTGTTCCCTGGCAAGTTGGGCAGGTGACACTATCTCTTCCTGTAAATTCCACATAGGGAAACTGTGACACATCTCCACATCTGCTGTCCTCATTGTGCACTTCCGAGTGAACTAAACCATTCCTCACGTTATCAGACACTGAGCTTCCATCATAGCCATCTTCCTTGCATGTATGCATAGGCAGGTGAGAAAGTGATTTTCCCATGTCTAAAATAAAAGTCAGAAGAAAGTTTTCAGGGACAACAATTCAAACATGGCTTATATTTATTCCCCTGCACCGTGTAACAGTGAGTCTATGGTCACAATCTGACAAGACTCCAGTTCTCCTTTGTTCAGATCCCTGAAGACCTGAAAAACACCACAGCCCTGTCAAGATGTAAGGAACCTGAACTAACTGGGAGCTTTGTCCAGATCCTCCAATATGTACAGGTTGAAAGGGGATCGATGAGAGAGGCTTTAAAGTTCCAATCGTAAAATTGCTGGCAAAAGTTGCAACAGTCTAGCAGTGCTTTTCAAAGGATTGTCACTGTACAGACTTTAACACAACACATCAACCTTTGTATAAGAGAAAAAATAAAATCAAAACTGGGCTCTAGAAAGCAAGTTTGCAATTTTTAGTGAATTCTACACACACTACAGACCCAATTCGAATAAGTGTTTTAGTTGGACTTGTTTTGATAACATGAGATCAGCTACTAGATTCTAAGCAAGAAATACAGATCTCCAGGTGTTTAAACTGATGTGTCCTTTTAACTCAAAAGAAGAATAATTCACTAGAAAGTTAAAAATGGAAGTTACTTTAACATAATTGCTGCCAAGTAGCATTTATAAAGACTTGTTAAAAGAAAAAAAAAGCATTACTCACAAAAGCATTTTTGTTACCTACACAAATTTTAGCTTTTTTATTACTGTAGGTTTTCAGCCATGACACTGAAACTACTTTGAAACACAGAACAGTTGGATCTAAAGTCTGAAATAAAGTGAGACAAACAGAAACCTTCCCAATTTGCAACAGGTGGAAAACAAACTCACAGTTAAAAAAAAAATAGATCTGTACAGCAGTGGCAATCAGCTTATCCCCATAAGCCATTTTAGTTACTTAACACACAGATACACCAGTCACTCAATTCATCAGTGTCTTGGGGAACAGCATGATTTAAGAAGAACATGCAAAACTGGTTTTTTTTTTCCATTGAGTGGCATTTTTAAAGCGGCATCTTTTAAGCGGCATCCAGAAATTACCATGCTGGTTCACTGAAAGGAAGCCGTAAGAGGAAGACTAAGCGAGCAAAACAAGTCAGAATGTTTTAAACCAAACACTTAAGACAAAGCACATCTCAAATAGGGTGATGGTAACACAGACACAACATTAATTCATTATACTGCCACAGAGGATAGGTGAACGTGGGAGCAGGAAAGTAAGTCAACAAACGCCAACAAGTCCCAGTTACTGCTCCAGCAAATACGCAGGATTTTTTTTTCATCAAGGTCATTAAACCCTTACAAGAAGTAAAACTATTAACCCTTGTGCTGCTACTTTTTAAAACATTCTAAGTTTGAGAGCCATTCAATAATAGAAATTGTTACACTGAAAATTAAAACTACCAGGCTATTGAAAAAAAAAAAACCTCCTGAAAAAACTGCTGACAATTATTCCACAAGGGGTTTTTGTTTACTGTTCCCCTTGCAGCTGACCTACAGCCTTCAAGCTACGAAACTTGAGTCTTGCAGCTTAGGCAATAGCTGTCACAGCTACAGGCCCGAAAGCTTATGGATCAATCCCTGGTGCTGAGGTGCTCCAACTACACCCTCGCTCTAATGACACTAGTCCCAGGCTACGTCTACATTAACAACTTAATAGCAAGTTCAAGCAGCAACTCTGTAAAAGAAACAGTCACTGACAATCCAAAAACGGCATTGCGTGTGTTTTTGTGTGTTCATTCCATATTAGCTCTGGTCTAGACTGACAACACACACTGGCAACTGGAGTGCACCTTCCAGTTTTGGCTTCTTCCAAAAGGAAGAGTTCACGCACTCCCTGAACACACTGTGTCATGAACCAAAGTGCAGCAGGCAAGGATAACTCAGAATTCCTTTCAAGAGCACATCCTTTGTTTGAATTAAAATACTAATGCAGATGCCAATTCTACCTGAGCTTCAACAGTTAGAATTTACTGGTGCCAGAGACTTGGGAAATGTCTCAGTTTACAAATAAGTAAACAGAGAACCATCTTCAAAAGAAATTTGATCCTCCAACATGCTTTCCCCCCAACCAAGCCTAAAAATCAAGTAAAATTCAAGTAAATTTTACTTAGTAAAAATCAAGAACATGTTGTTCTTTTATCCAGCACTTATATGCTAAAGAGTAGTAACTCTGAGAATGTAACATGTTCATATGTGACAGCCTCAATACTGTCACCAAAGCCAGAAACCCAACTTCCTTAACAGCTGTGCTTTGATCCAGACTCTCCCTTGTAACTGATGTTACACTTCAGTCTGCTTGGACTTATCTGGAGTTTCCTTAAATTCACAGTCTGTTAAAAAAAGTTGGTAAATTAAAAACGTTTTGATAAGCTGTTTTTAAGACTGCACCCTTCAGATTGCTACGGCACTGCAAGACCACAGTATGTAGAAGACACAATGTCGAAGACAGAGAACCACCACATCCTGAGCTTCATGCGAGACTCGGCGCGTGGGGGACGACGGGACGGGGCTTTTTGTTTATAAACTCAGTGAAACGTTACACAATCGAACTAAATTGTTATACTTCTCCAGCAGGTTAGGGTGGCATTCTTACCGTTTATATGCAAATACATAAATTTGAGATTACAAACCTACTTTTTTTTCAGTACATCAAAAGATTTCGAATCGCGACCATCAGCTGTGCCTTAACCACGAACATCACAAGCTCCTCCAGAGCAGCGCACGCAGCAGGGTAAGGCAGTGACTTGGCAGCCACAGACCTGCCCAGCACAGGTGGGCACGACCAGCGCTGCCTTTCACGACCTCTTGACAAACCCACCTCTCGAGCATTGCCTGCGCAGGTACGGCTGGCGCTGCCAAAAACACAGGAGCCAAGAATCCCGGCATTTCGGGGTTTTCTCGCCCGTCAGCGCCAGCTGCTCTCGCAAACATGGCGAAGTTTGGGGTCGGCAGGCTCAGACTGGGCCCGCCGAGCTCGGTCACTGCCGGGCTGCCCCCGACGCAGCGGGGGGAGCCGCCCCGGGGCAGCGGCAGGTCAGCCCAAGCTGGGCCGGGCCGGGCTCCCCCCGCCCCGCCGCGGGCCTGCCCAGGCCCCGCCGAGGCCCACGGGAGGCCGCGGAGACCCCCGCCCGGCACAGCTCCGCCCGCGCCCCGCAGCCCCGGCCCCGCGCCGGGAGCGCCCTGCTCTTCCCTGCCCTTCCCTTCCCTCCCGGCCCCGTCCATCCCCACCTGCGGCGCGGGCTCCGCGGCCGAGCCGGGCAAGGCAGGACCGGAGGCTCCCGGAGCGACGCAGCAGCCGCCGGTTGAGCCCCGGATCGGGAGTGTGCGCAGCCGCGGGGCGGCGGGGGCGGCACCGGGACTGGCACGGCCCGCCCGGTCCGGCCCGCCCGGCTGCGGGCGGAGTCGTGGTTGCCTCCCGCGGCGACGGGGGGAGCGGGGGCATCGCTGTTCTCCCGGCAGGCTGGCGGGAGGCTCGGGAATGGCACATAAACTACCTTCACTCGGCGAGATGGGGATGATTCCGCACCCGGGCATGGAATCAAGGGAAAGGGGAAGAGGGGAATGGGGCAGGGGGTATGGGGCAGCCCCGCTTCTCGGCAGAGGGAGATGGAGCGGGATTCCTCCTGGGGTTCCCGTGTCAGCTGTGGTTCAGAATCAGAATCGGTTAGGTTGGAAAAGACCTCTGGAGATCTTTGGGTCTAACTGGACCATGGCACTCAGTGCCACGTCCAGTGTGTAAACATGTCCAGGGACGGTGACTCCACCACCTTCCAATATCTAATCACCCTTTCTGTGAAGAAATTCTTGCTAATGTCCAAGCTAAACCTCCTTTGGTGCATCTTAAGACTATGTCCTCTTGTCTTGCCCGTTTGCTGCGCTGCCCGCAGCTGTGTGCGCCCCCTCCTTCTCTCTGAAACTTCGTGGTACTTTGCGAGGCACCACCTCTATTTGCTGTGCCCCGTTGGGTAGCTCTGGTGGAAGTACCTCGCCCCGATGTGCTCAAGGATAATGGAGATGCTCAAGGGAGGAACAGCGATGTCAGGTCAGCAAAAAAAAAAAAGTTTCAGAAACCACTGCAGTTTGTTTTTATAACTTGCATCATATTATACAAGCAGATGGTTGTAAAGCAGATATTTATCCAGGGCATGAAATGTTATCCAAACAATTTGCCAGAGCAAAATGAAGTACGCTGGAAGTGAATAACTTGTGATGATCAGTCTTCATGGGCCTGCCTCTGGTCCCTGAAAACCACTGCCCATTGTCTGTGGCAACACGGGAGACTGCAGCTCTGTGGGGATGTGGGGGCACCAACAAGATAAGAGCTGTGCAAAGGCGACACAGCTCAGGAGGACCAAGAGGAGGACGAGGAAGGAGCTGTACCTGGTTTGAGAACCTCGACCCAGCTGCTGTAATGAATCAGGCTGGGGGTAATCATGTGATTCACACCACGTATTAAACTGCAAGGGCAAACATAGGGGCAGGGTTTGAGGGAGAGAATGAGGAAGAGAGGTTCTTAAGACAACTTCAGGTGATCACGAGGCTGGGGCAGGGTGCCAGGCTGCCTCCAGCAGCCACACAGAGCAGGTGCAGCTGTAACACCACCTGCAGCACAGCCCTGCCAGCAGTGTGCCTAGCACCTGGCTGTGGGACCAGGATATGATCAGCCCGGAAAATAACTTTGTCCCATCCAAAAATGTGCTTAGAGAAAAGAAATCTGCAGGTATCTTTATCTAGGCCAATGCCAGCCCATCGTTTTCCTCTGTTAACTGGAAAAAGCTGGCAAGTCCCACGTCCCTCTGGTAGGCATTCACCTGAGTCTGTGGAATGTTATTGTTCAAGGTTCCTGAGAGCCCTGAGCTCTCTGTACACCAAGATTGAAAATACTGTGGTATTTTGCGAGTCCTTAACTGCAAACTGGTGTGTGCAGAATACCTTGAACAGATGCCTTGTATGCTCAGCACCTATACAGAGTTTGCATCTTACCCCAAAGTATCAGCAAGTCCCAAATTTACTACGCTCAGGCCTGAATTTTTGTCACTGGCTATTGGCTTTTGGGTCTGGATCAACTTTATATTGATCCAGGAAGCACAGAGCAAAATGTAAAAAGTAGTCATAGTTTTTGGCTGTCCAAACAGAAAGTAATGCTGTCTTTGCCCTTTACATTGTTTTAAATAATAGTGGCAGCCAGTCAGATTGACCTGAATCATCACACAGCAGGAGATGTGCCAAAAAAGGTCTAGGAAAAAGGGTTTTGGAACAGCTTTGGGAGGTCACACTGAGTTCTGGCAACTAAATTCCATCAATACAAATTTATTCAAGAGAACTATTACTAATAAATTGTAATTAGCATGGAGATTTTTATCAAATCAGGATTTTGTACCTTAAACTGCAGCAGTTTTTATCTAATACTTGCAGCCCTCAAACTGTGTAAGGCACTATTCGGGTAAGAATATTACAAGGTTACCAGAGACACTGTTTCCCTCGGCCATGATAGAAGCAACAACTGAAATCAGTGAGGGCTTTAGAGATAGTTCTCTGTTACTGTAATCAATAGAAATGTTTTCTATTAAAGACTTTTCACTACTTGCCATAGCCTTTCTGTAGCTTTGACACAAACAGTATGGTTTGTGGTCTTTATCTCTTTATAACTGTCATGATGAAAGGGAACATATCTCTGGCTTTGTGTTACTTTCACTTTTGAAAGTACAGGTTAAAGATAGCATTGTAGAAAGAGAAATCAAAACATTGGAAGGATCTGTCTCACCCTCAAGCCCATCCGCAAATCCTCAAGGTCACCTTAAATATAATTTATTTGGTATAGGCTAAAATAATTCAATGGAAACTGCGAATAAAAAAAATATAAGGATATAGTGTCACACCAACTGTGCAGTCTTGAAAGAAAAAAAGAAAAATATGTAGTAACAAGAGGTACAAATTAGAAGCACATTAAAAGTGCTTAAATATGTGATGAGGTGCTTAAAAGTGTTACTGAAATGAGCCACGGAGATTGGGATAATCAAGACAGGGTTCCTGTGATTATGAAAGGGTATTTCGCAGTAAGGAGGTACAGAATGCACAACATCCAATATTGCTGGTTATGTCTAGTGAGGACTGGATGCTTAAACAGAGACACAGAAATTAATCAGTTCAGAAATACATAGTAGAGGGGTGGTATGTAATACTAGTAAACATAAACACTCAGATGGCATAAGGAGAGAAGCTGAAATCATCACCTTTGGATGGAGTTATGGGACAGCTGCAAGTAATATGAGCTCTTAGTTCTCACAGATCACTTAACAGGTGCAGTTTGTACTTCCGATAGTACATCAGCAAAGAAATCCAAGTGATAAACCTGCTTTCAAGTTGAGTTTTCTGGCTCGGGTATGATAAGGGAATCAGGGCCTTGAAAGGGCTGGAGCTGACAATTGTTATAGCAGGAGATTGTGCCAGTGTGCAGCCTCCAAGGTCCTGTGAGCACCTGCAAGAGACATAGATCCTAGAAGTACCAGTGAAGAATTATATTTACTTCTAATTTTTCCCCAAGATGAATTACAACCTACTAGCATTGGTTATCTGTAGAAACTTCAGACTACTCACATTTATTTCATCCTTCAGAAATATAAGCTACTAATTCTGTGAATATTGAAGGTAATGAAGTCTGATTTTCTATGGATTTTTCTTTTGGTTGGCTATTACCCGAATTACAGTATTTTCTGTTATGACTTCATATACCTAGCATCTTCTCCTGCAGAGCATTTTGACAGCAACATGTAGGCTGCCATATTCAAAAGGGGAAATTTATGGACATTTGCTGACTGGATAGGAAGTTATTATGTGTCAACTTCTAAATGTTCAGTTCCTTATGTCTCCTGACTGGTTATCTGTTTTTATGAAATTTGTGTAAATGATATTATCTCTCAAACTGCATTGAAGCTGGATAATGCCCTCAAGGTTATTGGAACTTTGTACAGACAGAGATGAAGAGATTGCATAAACCTTGTTTTTATATAGCCTACTAGGCTAAAATTGGATGGCATGCTATCTGAATGCTGAGCTGGATACAGAACCCATTTTGATCTGCAAGCAATCTCCAAGTCCAGAAAAACAAACAAACAACAACAACAAAACCAACAAAACCAAACAAAAAGAATGTGAAAACTATAATCCCCATCTAACCTAGAGTATAAAGTAGCAGTATGGGGGATTGTGTCCATATACCTGTTGCTGGTGGTAGAGAAGACACTTAAGAATTCCTCTAGTTACTTTAGGATCACCATTACTACACTGGAGTTTTTATATATAAGGAAAAGCAGGTTTTGCAGAACTATTACAGTTGTCTGTGTGAATTACATTCCTCCTTCACCTTAAGTAGCCCAGGAAATAGATATGCTGCCATATTGTAAAGATCATGTTTTTTCTAAATTTCTCACTAGTTCATGAGGACACCCAAGAGAAAATGTTGGTTCCCTATAGCATGGTTTTCTTACTGAGAAACTTCAGATAGGAGATACAAGTTAACTAGATAAAAATAAGAACTCTAATTTTTAGAAATTTTATCCTTGATTCAATACCATTGCAGCAGTCTTGATTTTTTGCCAGTCATCCTAGTTGAAGGATGCACTAGACTGAGCTATAACAGTGGTTTCAACAGTAGCTTAGATGCAATATTGCAAAATATGCCAAGTTGCATCATTGAAAGATAGCTAAAGTCACACTCAGCCCAAAATGAAAAAAAAACCAAAAAACAACCCAAGCTTATATTAAAAAAAAAGTTCCACTGTCTTAACTTGGACTTCTAAAAGTTCAGTGTTGGAGAATCTAGTTTTCCCCCCTGTGAAGTATTATATGTATTTGAGAATTGCTGATTTCAATGGTATTCTATGGTAAAAATTTTTAGACATATTTAATACTTGAATGTAATTTGTCACAGATACTTTCATTGCTCTGTGTTTTCTGATGATGGGGACTGTGCATTGAGTTATTTTGCATGAATAAAACATAAATAGTCTTTTGTAACTGATGTGTTTCTGATAGATTGCACAGTTACAGGTAGCTGTCATTCTTGCAATGCTCTATGGTCTTCTGCAGTGTATACACTATAGTTTCTCTTTCTTCATCATGTGTGCACAAACCTTAAATCCTGCTTTAGTTGACAAATGAATGAGATGATTATGTTCTGTAAGAACATGATTTTTGTCCATTCCTTCACAATTCTGATGCTATGCAAGAACTGTGTCTCTCTGCAATATGTGTTTCTAATACCTTCTGGGGGAAAATGGCCCCTATTTCTCCTTTTTACATATTCTCACCTTTCTTTTTGAAAAGAACATATGACCTGAATA